GCTCTACCACTGAGCCACCTTCCCAGTCCATGACTCTGTCTTGTAAATTGCTTATCCATGTCCTACATGGAAAAATAATTCAGTCACCAAGGTTCCTTACAACAGTCTTAATTCTTCTAGCACTAATTTGGAAAATGCAAAAAAATCATTCTGATTGTTTGGGTTTGGGAAACGTGAATATATTGGACTAATTGATAGTTGCCAGAGCCAGGCACCAGTGGCTCATACCTGTAATCCTAGCTACTCAGGAAGCTGAGATCTAAGGATCGCAGTTAAAAGCCAGCCCAGGCAGGAACATCCATGAGACTCTGATCTCCAATTTAGCCACCAGAAAACTCGAAGTGGCGCTGTGGCTCAAGTAGTAGAGCACTTGCCTTGAGCTGATGATGTCAGGGACAGGGCCCAGGAGCAGAGTTCAAACCCCACAACCCCCCCAAAAAGTTTCCATAATATGACACAGAGACATAACTACTGTATACACTACAGCAAACAATGTTTCAAGGTCCTTTGAAATTTGTTTCCAACATGCCAGGGGTCCCCTCTTTCTTATACTGTTTCTCCTCTTTCTCTTTCTTCTTTTTTCTCTCCTTTTCCTTTTTTTCCTTCTATTTTTTTGCTTTATGCTAGGTTTTTGTTTTTGTTTTTTTGTCTCTTCTTTTTTTGGTACTGGGGATCAAACCCGGGACATTGATACTCGGTAGGCAAGCACTTTGCCACTGAGCTACATCCCAGCCCTATGATAAGGTTTTACAAGGTAGTTTAGTCAGGCCTGAAACACATAATCCTCCTTCCTCAGCCTCCCAAATGCTGAGATTACATGATTTTGTCACAAACTCCAACATATCAGACACGCCACACACAGATAGATAGATAGACAGACAGACAGACAGACACACACACACACACACACACACACACACACACACACACACACCAGTACTGGGAATGGAATTCAGGGCTTCAGGCTTACTGATTCAGCAAGTGTTCTACCACTTGAGCCATGTCCCTAATCCTCCAACATGCCTTTTAAACCAATCTTATACATTTATATGTAACTCCCATTCTAGACACATTGATTAGTTGATTATTTCAGAAATATACCACATATGTCCATGGCACCATGCTTTTTTCAGTTTTTCCCTAACACAAATGAACTACTAATCTTCTCCTCTGAGAATTCTCATCCTCCCTCAGCTAAAAGTCAACTCCCTGATTACCCTCTTTCTCCAAATTAGGCATCTTATTCTCATATCCTGTTATCCTCTATTGTATTTATTTATAAATGTCTTACCTCCAACAAGATTTTAACCTCTTCAGATCAGAGACTCTCATCTTTCTGCACTGGTTCTTAATGCAATGCTTTATGCTTTCTTAGGACTTAGTAACTGTTTGACTAATTACTTCAGAAATACTACTTATCACCAGCTACCACTAAATAACAATAGGTGGAGAGATGGTTTTAGAAGCTACTTCCCTACCCATACCACTGCATTAGCTTTCTGAAAGAGCAAGAACTACCAAGAAACAGTACCATAATCATCCCTCAGCCAAAGTCATCCTTGAAATAGGAAATCTCCATTCTTGTTTGTTGTTGTTGTTGGTCATGGGGTTTGAACTCTGGGCCTGAGCGTTGTCCCTCAGCTCTTCAGCTCAAGGATAGCACTCTACCACTTGAGCTACATCGCCACTTCTGTTTTTCAGAATGTTTATTGGAGATAAAAGTTTCATGGACTTTCCTGCCTGGGCTGGCTTTGAACCTCGATCCTCAGATCTCAGCCTCCTGAGTAGCTAGGATTTCAGGCAGGAGCCGCCGGCGCCCGGCTGGAAATTTCCATTCTTGATGGCAAGTCCATCATATATATTCAAACAAATATAACACAATGTATTTAGCCAAGTTTTTTTTTTCCATACACTAAAATGGCAAAGACAGCAATGAAGGAAAATACTTCATCACTATATTGAGGCAATAAGATACGGTAATAAGTGGTTTACTTTTCTGATGCTTTTCACACATATTTAATCTCAGCTTCAACTCTGTTTTCCCAAATCATAACTCAGCATGCCATTGCCCTGACAACACATAGACTCAAAGTTCACAGCCAGATAAACTTCCTCACAAAGTCTGGTGTTCATGTCAATGTGGCTAATCTTGTTTGAATCCACTGTCAGTTGGTATAGAATAAGTATTAAGTCTTAACTTTCTCAAGAAATCCAGAAACCAAGGTTTCTGGTCATAAGAGCATCTCCTCAACTCAATATATAGATGCCATAAAAGGCCACAGTTGCTTTTGTATAATTTACTAAACTTGCTGCACTCAAGGCAAATATACAAAAGATGTACAGAAGCCCAATAGATAGCTCAGTATATTCAATTGATGAGTAGACCCATATGACCTAATGTCCAACAGTCCAATAATATGGTCTAAGGAATTGTAAATGAGGTATATAAAACTTAAAGGTCTCCTACTAGGCAGAATCAATAAGAAGATAACAAATATTTGCTAAGGTTTAGTTATGTATCAGGGACTTTGGTACATATCTTAACCCAATAGCCTGTCTGCTTTCTTTTATTACAGTATCAAGATTAAAACTCACGTCCCTTTCTATGTAAATACTCTATCATTTAAGCCACACCATCAATCCTTTTACTTCCTGTTTATTTTTCAAATAGGAGTTGGAGATTGCTTTTACCAGGCTGGCCTTGAATTTTAAACCTGCTATCTATGCCTCCTAAATAGCTAAGATTACAGGTAAGTATAACAATGCCAACTCTCTCTCTCTCTCTCTCTCTCTCTCTCTCTCTCTTTTTGAGCAGGGCTTCAATAACTTCTGCCCCAGCTACCCTGGAACCCTGATCCTCCTATCTCTGCCTGCCTCCCCTACCCCCACAGATAGGATTTCAGAGGACCATGACCACATCTAGCCTCCTGTCTACTTTTTATACTTTTATTAAATGACAGAGCCACAACTAAACCTGTGTCTAGATAGCTGATCTTCTGATAATATACTTTCAGAATTCAAGGAATTAATTCAATGTGATCACCTAAATTGGATTACAAAACAGAGGAAAAGATGCCATTGAAAAATCTAGTGTAATCCAAATTAAGTCTAGAGTTTAGTGAATAGTAATATGTTGGAATTAATGTTTTCAGAGAAATGTGTCATTAGAATGTAAGATGTTAACATCAGAAAATTACATGTAAGTTGAGTAGACATTATCTACTATTTCTATGACTTCTCAGTAAATCAAAATTATTCCAAAATTTAAAAATATATTTTTAAATATTCAAGGGAGTTTTGAATCTCAGATATTACCAGGAAGTATGGTAATTGTTCTCCAAAGGAGTACAAGTGTGTGATCTTTTCTGTGATTACGATTCTAAATCTACCAAAGATGTCACTCTTGGATTCCTAAACAGCAAGAGAGAGAGAGAGAGAGACCCCACCAAGTTGATCATGCCAGCAGATGACCTAAACAGCTGCTTTATAATATGCTTAAGTAGGCACTTATAAGTGGCTGGGCAGCAAAAACAATGCAAAAGATGAGTCTGATACCATGAAAATGTTGAATTTTCAGGAAGAGCAGCAGCAAGCCAACTAACTGACCCACAGTAGTCAGAAGCAAAAGTGGGCTCATCCCTGTTATAGCTAAAACCTGGAGCAAACCATGATGAGATGAGAGATAACTGGAAATAGCAACAGACTCCACCCCACACTTAGCCACAAACCCGAAGACAATCTTCCATCTGTCCATACTGTAGAAAGGGTTATGGAATTCCTCCAACACACCTGCAGTAGAGATGGTGTTTCCACCAAAGAAATTTCTCCAAAGAAACTATTCATCCATACCCAGAATGGAAAAGAAAAAACAAATCAAAGAATAACTATTTACATCTGTATTAAAAATGTTAGTACATTGGATTTACATTTCCAGATCATTATAACTTAGGTCTTAGAGCTCCACCACACAACTTATCTAGGATAAACATAGTTTAATATTCTAAATGTTTAATTATATCTTCTTTCTCTTGCCACGTGGCAAGGTTAAGCACTTTTTTTTTTGAAGGTTTCCATCTTCAGTGGGCTATTCACATCCACTATTTCAAAATTTCAAGCATCTTACCTTCTTTAGTATTTTAATTTACTGTAAATGCTTGCCTCCACGGTACTGGTCTATTCTTGACCCCTTTCACTTCAAAACCTGCACAAGGACATCAAAATGGGGGAAGGGAGTAGGAAGGTGCTGGAAAGCTTGTGAATTTCTCTCTGCAGGTTTGGCAGCCACTTTCTAAGGGTGGTCTCTTTGTTAAGAATTTAGCTGTCCAGCCCTCAAGGCCGCACCATTTAATATTCCCACTGGATCCCTGGGACTTTTCTTTGAAAGAGTTGTCCGGTTTTCAAGGCACACCTACAGTACTTGTCGGTCCAGGAACGGGGCCTGAAAAGAATGTTGGTATTTTCCTTCAGGTATAGGTGCCTGGGGGTCAACGAGAGAGGGAAAGGCAAGGGGTGGAGTGGGAGGCGGGTGATCGACAGGGATAGAAACGGTGTCTCCTCCTCCTTCTGAATGCGAAATAGCCAATGAGGTGGCTCGTCCCGGCCGGCTGGGCCGCCAGTGCCTTATAGTATGCAGCAACCGGAGGAGTCACGTTGGGGGAACGGCAGAAAGCAGCTATCCGTTTACACTACTTTGCTCTAGCAGCTATCTTAATGGTGACTGCGTGGCCGGGGGGGAAACCTGATCGGCCAGATCCAGCCGAAACCGGGAGGGAGGGAGTGGGCTTTCCGGAGGGGGGAGGGGGGAGAGAGACGAAGGAGGAGGAGTAAGAGAGGGGGGGAAAGAAAGAGGAAAAGAGTGCGAGGGAGTGAGGGAGGGAGGAAAATAAACAACACACACACACACACACACACACACACACACACACACACACACAAACATGTCCTCTTCCTCCCCCACCGGGCAGATTGCAAGTGCGGCGGACATCAAGCAGGAGAATGGGATGGAAAGTGCCTCGGAAGGGCAGGAGGCGCACCGCGAGGTGGCGGGGGGCGCGGCGGCCAGGCTGAGCCCCCCGGCTCCAGCCTCGTTCCCCCTGGAGCCGGGGGACGCCGCGGCGGCCTCCGCCGCC